TGTTTCCTTGATAATAGTTCGCAAAGGTTTGATATGCGGAAGTTACTTATGCTGTTCCCTTGAGTCGTCTCACGCGAGTAATAAAAGCAGCTCCATCACATCAAAGGGACGTCTTGGCCCTTTAAAACGAGGGCGCAAGTAAAACTCGTAATAAAATATTTGTCCTTCCTGAAACTGAAGACATACATGGCTCATTTTTTTAATTCGTAAACAAACTGAGAAGCATATTTGTCAGTTCAGTTTTCCTTGCACTGTTTCCGATTTTTTCGTTCTTGACTGCAAGGTCATCTCCATGCTACCATACATGTTATATTGACTTCAACTGCATGCCACGTTGCGTAATATGGAAGAACCCATTACGACTGGTTGAATTCTTCTGATAATGCGTCCAGAAAACTATTGAATATCCTGATTCTTGTCTATAGTCAAACGCAATACAATAATGTGATGTGTTGATGGCATTTCCAGCTAAAACAAGGATAACTGGATGAGAGACATCACACCCGTGTGCTTGATGAAATCCGACAATATCTCTGAATCACCTTTGTTTAATTCTGAGGATATTACTCGGTTGTACGAGTAAACGCTGCATGTAGTAAATTCTTACCTTAGCATCATTTCTTGGAGCATCGAGGCTGTAAGAAGCCAAAGATGGAGCAGATGACATCATACTGCCCTCATACCTGTAAACATATTTTTCGTGTGTCGCACACGAGAGCGTTGCCATGGTTCTACTCCATCCATTAATCAACGACGATTTTCGGCAGAATCATATTCCGTAACGTAAAGTTATTACACGCATCACTTCACCAACATTTCTTTTATGGTTAAAGTATGAAGAATAATGATAATTATTATGGATATACAACTTCTTTTATTCTGTGGAGGCGACGTTTCGACATAGATTCTAATGTCGTTGTCAAGCAAGTGATGGTTCTAACATGCCCATCAAAGAAGTCATGGTTAAAGTATGGTTGAACAGAATGTACTGATATTTGAAACCAGCAAGCAACCTCCTCCCAACAATTTACCCAACTTGGGCCTTCGGTGCTCGAAGCTCCCTTCAATTTCCGGATACTGTTGCAAAAACATTCTCTATTTTCTTAATTTAAAAGTAGATCTCAAGACAAAAAAAGTCTTTATGAGAAGAATCACACCGTGATTTCCCCATTAATGACGAAATGAGATTTCTGTTCAATAACGAAGGCGCTCCCATCAAGTACAAGTTTGTGAGGGCCACGTTCGTTCATTTACTGTCCCAACAGGATTAAATTTGCCGTCGGCTGTGTCGCAGCTCCCACCATGGTCTGTAGTTGAAGCAAAGTATATTGCTTGCAAAAGGGAGATGTAGCGGATAAAAGAGACGGAATGATAAAAAGTACTCTCATTTCAATTCAAGAGACAAGGTAATGGTTATTGAAGGCAAGTGGAAGCAATGATGACAAAAACAAAATTTGCGTCAGAAAACAAATTGTACATAAAACTCCGTCTGCAGAAATTGTGTTTGAACCATACGAATGGTCGAATATTTCAATGGGCTGTGCCTTGATTTATTAAATCAACGAAGCAACCGGATTCATCAAAAGGAGTGAGTTAAGATTTAAAGTCACATCGGCAATATTTCAGCCATATCGTGACTAGAACAAGTTATAGATTTATAATGATAAAAAATAAATCAACGAAGGACAGTAAAACAACTAGAGTATCACAGATATATATTTGAAACTAGTGATTAAATCTAAAACAGTTTAACTATAGAGGACGATACAATATAAAAACAGGCTGTAGATCGCCAACAACTGAAGGTAGATCACCAGTTGCAGACTAGGGACCATGGGTCATCAAAAGGACATTACCATCATTTCAATACAAGCAACAATATACTGGTTACTGAAGACAACGTGGAAGTAGTGATGTATTTAACTTCACTAAAACAATTGGAATGTACAAATACAATAATACATTCTTTGAACAATAGAAACGCACAGGGAATAGTGAGAATGGCGTTGATTTTGTATGAATGAAACATCAAGTTTGCGTATACATAACCGAGGTAAACTTATGCGGATATGTGCAATACTATACTATACTATACTATACTATACTATACTATACTATACTATAACCAGTAATACATTGTATTTCACCTATTAGCATAACATTTATAAAGACAAGGATCAAACGGATAGTTTATCACTAAACAATTGATAATACACGGCCGAATGGTCAGACTCGAAAAGCAAGTCGAAAAGAGCATTGATAATATTACTTCCCCAGTGTTCGTTTTGAGGTGTGATGATTTATTGGTCTAAGCTGTAATGTGTTTGGAGAACAATGCATGTGTGCTCTTTGCTAACCTGTTCATTGTTACTTCATTGTTATCCCCCGCAACGCGTTTTGCGGGGGATATTAAAATGGACTCCGTCCGTGTAGTTTTGGTATTCTGAATTAAATATTTTTGGCGTTTCCAGGGCAACAAGTTTGACTTAGACTGAAATTGGTGGTAGTGCTCTTTTCCGGAGCAGAACTCTAAAACCGTTCAATGTTTCTTCACCAAACTTGGCACATAGATTGGTCTTGTGGTGTACTGGTGCCTTTAGGTAGTTTGGGGTTTCTGAATAAAATATCTTTGCATTTCCATGCCAAGCAGAACTTTTAAAACCTTTCAATAATCTCCTTCCACCTTTCTATATACACACCAAAACTTTTGACATAATCATAACTCGTAGACATATTCATGAAGAGTATTTTGCCATTGCGGGGGATATTGATGACTTTGTCTTCTTGTTGCTTTTCTATCCAGCTGATGAACTGTGCAGGAAGATACAGAAGCTTACTATACCTCTCTCAACACTTCAACTTTTGAGGTATATGTCAATATGTAGTGTGAAAAAGACCAGAAGAGGCTGTCGAGGTGGAAACAAAATAAAAAATCATGTAAACATTTCCCCTACCTTAAAGACTTCAAAAACAAATATTGGAGTGCTAAACGCCAGATCCGTGAAACCTAACTCACCTTCAAGTGATAAGGCCAATTCAATAAGGGATTTGCTGTTTGACCAAAAACTTGATATCCTGATTTTAACAGGACCAAGTGACGGTAGATAGCATAACACCACATGGATTCAAACTCGCCTAAACTGCTAGGGCGGTAAAGCGTGGTGGTGGTGGTGTTGCTATTCTTACAAGGACACTTTGAAATTCTCTAAACTAGTTCCTCCACAAACCTTCCTATCTTTTGGGACCGCCTCCGTGGTGTAGTGGTTAGAGCGTCCGCCCGGAGAGCGGAAGGTCGCGGGTTCGATCAATATGGTACTTGTTGGTCCCTGCCTGGCGCTCGGCATTAATGGGTTCAACAAGGACTGGTCGGCTCGGAGTCAGTATAATGTGTCTGAGTGGCGTATTCATGCTTCACTGCGGCATGGCATCTCAGTGGGCTAGCACTATAAAACCAGCTTACGTCTGGGCTAGTACAAGCAGCCGCACATACACATACACACGCATGCACGTCGTCATATGAGCGAAATATTCTCAAGCACGACGTAAAACCCAATTTGACCTCACCTCACCTCCTATCTTTTGAAAGTCTGATCATTGGACTTGAGAATGACAGTCAGACACTGATGGTATGTGCAATATATAGGCCTCCCGATAGAACGTGTCACGATGGAAAAGACTTTCTTACTGAGTTTGCCTGTTTTCTGGAATTCCTTAACAGTGTCCCTGGTAAACTTCTGATATTAGGTGACTTCAACATACATGTTGATAATGTTCATCTCTCAGATACAGAAGAGTTTTTGTGTATTCTTTCCTCACATGGACTCGTTCAGCATGTCTCTGTTCGAGAACATACTCTAGATCTCATCATCACTAGAGACGAGGAACTCAACTTAAAGATCACCGGCGTTGATCAGTTAGTTCAATCCGATCATTTTGCTATCCTCGCTAGAGCAAGCTTTTCTATACCCAGAAGACCAAGACAGGAACTATCATTCCGGAAATGGGATTGTATCAGTCTTCCGGTTTTGAAGTCAGCTCTTTCCACAGTACTTGAAGGATAATCTGAGCTTAGTGTTGAAGCATGTGCCTGTCGTTATGATAGTGAAGTCCGTAAAGTCATTAATGACCTTGCTCCGATATCCAAACGTATTGTAACAGTTCACTCAAAAGAACCTTGGTACAATGACAAAATCCGGGCAGCAAAACAGTATCGACGACAGTTGGAGAGGCGGATGAGATCGTCTGATCTGGTAGTCTTCAAAGAGATGCATTCTGCCCAGCGCAATGCTGTCAATGCCCTTGTATACGAGGCAAAGAACACCTTCTACAATGATGCAATTGCACAGTCTAATGGCCAAAAGGATCTTTATCGACTGTGTGACAGACTTTTGTTCAAGAAGCATTCAAACCCTCTACCAAACTATGACTCTAAACTCGAAATGGTAAATACATTCTACAAGTATTTCACGGAAAATATTGAAACTCTTCGTTCCAGTCTGGAAAGTAGAACTGTGAGACCTGTTACCACCATCCCCACCAGTGGCGTTCCTGATAATCATACATCACTGTCCTCATTTTCCCAGATTCACGAGAACGAAACCAGGAAACTTATCTCTCTATGTCCAAACAAATCTTGCTACCTGGACCCGTTACGACATGGCTCCTCAAAGGACTGTCTGGATGAGGTTGTTCCTGTGATGACTCACATTGTAAATCAATCCTTTCTTGAATTTTCTGTTCCTGCAGATTTTAAGAAAGCTTTTGTGTCACCTTTGCTTAAAAAAAACAACTGGATGCAGAGGTTTTAAAAAACTATAGACCTGTATCCAATCTGTCGTTTGCATACAAGTTACTTGAACGAGTTGTTGCTTCACAATTAAACCAGCATCTGAAGAGTACCGGTCAATTGGAAGTGATCCAGTATGCTTACTGAAAAGGGCATAGTACTGAGACTGCTCTTGTTCATGTTCAGACCGATCTTCTCCAGGCTGTTGACAAAGATGGTGCAGCAGTACTCATACTCCTTGATCTTTCCTCTGCCTTTGATACTATCGATCAGGGAATACTACTTCGTACTCTAGAGGATAGATTTGGGGTTCCTGGAGAAGCGCTACTCTGGCTAAATTAGTATCTGTCAAACAGATACCAGGCTGTGCATGTGGATGGTTGTAGCTCTTAAATGACAGAGCTCAAGTATGGTGTTCCTCGAGGTTCGGCCCTGGGACCTATACTTTTCACGATGTACACCTCTCCACTTGGAGATATTGCTAGAGCACACACCTTTGCTTTCATCTATATGCAGATGATACACAGCTGTATCTATCATTCAAGCCGAAGGATAACACCTCAACCAATACTGCTTTCTCCAGAATTGCAGAGTGCACAGAGACATCAAGACTTGGATGACCATAAATTTCTTAAAGCTGAATGAGGAAAAGGCTGAGAGGCTTGAGATTACATCAAAAGCCATGAGACCAAAGTTAACTCTTCACATTCTTAAGTTGTCATCTTGTGTCATCGAACGTAGCCAGGAGGCTAGAAATCTGGGTGTCATGTTTGATTCCACACTCATTGCTGAATGCAATGTGGGCCGGGTCTGCAAAAAGGTTTACATGAATATCCCAAACATCAGTCAGATACGACAGTTTATCAACAACAAAACAACAGCTTTGCTCGTTCAAGCCCGTGTAATCTCCCATCTGGATTATTGCAACTCCCTTCTTCTCGGGCTGCCAAAACGTCTTTAAACTTCAGAAAGTCCAGAATTCTGCCGCTTGACTAATCAAAAGAACCAGAAGATCAGTACATATCACCCCAGTCCTGAAAGATTTCCACTGGCTCAAAGTTGAGGACAGAATCAAGTTTAAAGTGATGACTCTGACATTCCGTGCTATCCACCGCGATGCTTCTCCGTACATTTCTGAACTCATCCAAGAATACAAACCTGAGAGAACTCTACGTTCCTGTAACCAGTGTCTTTTGAAGCTTCCGTCAGCTCGTACATCATTTGGCGAGAGAAGTTTCGAAATCTCAGCACCCCAGATATGGAACTCCCTCCCACTTGAAATAAGAAGTGCCCCTGAGTTTGAATCATTCAAGTCACTACTGAAAACACATTTGTTTAAAGTCTGCTACTGTTACACAGTGTATTCCCAGGACAGTTCATTGCTCACAAGCGCTTTTGAGCAGTTGATAATACTGGAAACAAGCGCTATACAAGTGTATATTTATTACTATTTAGTTTTGCACTTTAAGGCTACATACACACAGGTGGTGCCTCCAATAAAAGAGTTATACGATTAGGGTTCCGCTTATACTTCTGACAAACGTTTCTGAGAGCTGGGCGTGACAGAAAGGGCTGAATCCTGTACTATAAAACCATTCATCTCTGACTGTCTGCCATGGTTGTCTGAGCCATACACTGTTGCTGTCACAGAGGCTCGCCGAGTACCCTAGGTTGGCTTATAAAAGCCAGTGAATGAGAAGGCTCCATACCGTGTGAATATCTGGAGGGACACACAGACACACACAGACACACACACAGACACACACACATATATATATATATATATATACATATATATATATATTATAAATATATATATTGTTACTCATCTGTCTGTGCTGAACACACTATGTAGTCATCGATTCGTAAATCTCCGACCTAAGTGACACAAGATAGACATGAACAGATTCAGTCGGTCTAATGTTATACGATGGCCCATTATCAGGATTACATTCAATGTGGTGTAACATAGCACCTGCCTTCTCTGTGCAATTTGAAACATAATTGTTTGAAACGTGTCGGAACGAATTTTTTGACAAGGAGTTTATAAAAACTTCCTGACAGAATGAGTAAGGTGAAATTGAGCTTAACGTTGTGTCTAGGGCATATAGAGCCGTGGTATCAAAGTTTGCTTAAGGTAAAACTTATCTGACGTAAACTGGAGAAATATCTTAGAAAAGTACCTGATTGAAATTACACTATGCACGAAATTCATAATAACACATGCCATGTAGTGAAAATAGAGCATACATGTACATGTATATACATTTTGAATAATCGGGAGTAATGCAAGGAATTCATAATGAAACATGCCATGGAGTGAAAATAAAGCATACATGTACATACATTTTGAATAATCGGGAATAATGCAAGAAATTCATAGTGAAACATGTCATGGAGCCAAAGTAAAGCAGATATACATTTTGAATAACCAGGAATAATGCAAGAAATCCATAATAACACATGCCATGGAGTGAAAGTAAAGCAGATATACATTTTGAATAACCAGGAATAATGAAAGAAATCCATAATAACACATGCCATGGAGTGAAAGTAAAGCATATACACATTTTGAATAATCATGAATAATGCAAGAAATCCATAATAACACATACCATGGAGTGAAAGTAAAGCATATACACATTTTGAATAATCAGGAATAATGCAAAAAAGCCATAATAACACATACCATGGAGTGAAAGTAAAGCATCTATACATTTTCAATAATCGGGAATAATGCAAGAAATCTATGATAGCACATGCCATGGAGTGAAAATAGAGCATAAATACGTTCTGAATAATCGGGTTAACAACATCAAAGGACTTAGTTGTAATGCTGTTGATAATTGTACATAATCGCCATCAGGTTTTAATGCTCTACAGGTCCAATGGCCATCCAATTAAAACAGTAACTCAAGGGTGACACCCTCGCTATCGAGCACAGTTGGAAAGAACGGTTAAAAACTACAAGCTTTAGCAATTTTAATTCCTTGTGACTAGCACTCCATTGTGCACTGAGCGTTCAAAGTCTGTTTCAACAATTTAACAGGTCAGTATTTGCAATTTCTTCTTACACACAGCGCGGCTTTCCATATATTTGACCTTCCTTTTGACAATACGCCACTGCTCTTTCTAAACGCTAGATTGTAACGTGAAGCGCTTTTTGGTAAGTGGATAGATGAATGTATTCAAAAAGTCAAATGGATGATAAATGCGAAATCAATCACTTGTGGCGTCGCGTTTCTTTGTAAACATTCTCCCTTTGTTTTGTTTGCCCGATAGAAGTTTCGCAAAGGTATGACAAGAGGATATTACTTAGGTTGTAGCCTGGAGTCTTCGCAATTACTGGGAACGCCATCACATCACAGGAACGTCTTAAAAAAAGACTTTTTTATTAACTGTTTCCGTCTTTAAAGCCAACGATGTTGACTGCATGGTTGTTACTCATGCTACACATGGTACACTGACGACCAAATGTACGATGGCTTTCTATTGTAACGGGAACTGTGATTAATAACCAAACCATTTCTACATAAATCAACTGCTGAAATACTACAGATAATGTTTACAGACAACCCTGAATATACTGGTTTCATTACATCTTAGTAAAACACATTTCAATAATACTGAATATATTTATATTTCAAAGAATTCACATCATGTATTATTGACCAAGAGTAAACTTTCGTTGAATGAGTGATTTAGGTTAAATTCAACAATATTATAGTGCTATCGAGGCGTGTTGTTGTTCGTAATTCAGTCGGTCATTACGCTTTACAATGCTATTATTATGTTTCAGCAATATGATAGGTAGGGCAAAATGATTCGGACAGTGGAGGGAAGTGTGTGGGAGTGTTGTATATATGTCTGCTTTTTACATACATCTATATCTCTAATGTCGTAATGAGATAGTGAATAAACGTTATACCGTGTGATTATTTTTATCATATATGTGTTTGGTTATAACCATTATGGTTATGTGTTTTTAATTATCATAGGTATGTCATGGGCAATGCTTACTATGGTACCCAGTTTTCATCAGAACATATTATTTGTATTTTAAAAGTCGGCGAACTCCTGTCGAATTTTCTCGATTTCTCTCCGGTTGTTGACAATATGTTCAGTGTTCATTTCGACGTTTTTAATCAGACTGTCAATCACGTCCCGAATTTTTGCTAGTTCATCACTAATTTTATCCATCTTATGTGTCAGTACTGAAGTTGGTGTCGTGACAGCTTCCTCTATGAAACTTTTGATATCATCATGTTCACCACACCCGCCTACCTCCATACCAGTGCTGTCATCGTTATCCGCTTCGTCTGTGATGGTTTCGTTCGTTTTTTGAAGGTATGCATCCATATTGCCTGTTGGTGTTATTTCTTTATTATCTGTTCTACCCTTTCTCGTCCCTTTTCGTTGCCCTGGCATTGTGATTTTGAAAGATTTAGGCGGATTTCGAGAGCTGATAGATTAGCTACCTGTCGCCATGCGAGTTCAACCGGAAGTCAATGTATCATGTAATGGTTGTAACAGAATGATTTGTGACAAAAGCCAGAAACAATGCTGGTTTTATAGAAAATTTCTCTGACCCTGTGAGCACTTGTGACGAGTTGTCATGTACTTGGGGATTAAGAAGAAGTCACTTGTGTGAAATCACTGGGGAAGCCACTTGAGGGAGGCCATGCATTTGTACTTGCAGTAATGTTTTGACAACCCCAAAACGCACATGCAAAGATTTGTGACAGAAGCCAGAAACAATGCTATGAAAACATCCACAGAAACAATGCTTCCTACCCCCCCAAAATAATTTTTTTAAACAAATACGAAAACATAGACTGCACTTAATTACAGTAAGTAATAACCTTTGAAATGTATTGCCTGATTTGCAAAATCTTCAGTTAGGCATTATGTGTAAAAGAAAGCTATAAATTTTAGTCATTTCGTGTAATGTCTGGAATTTTCAGTAATTATAGGTATTGCCTTGTGATCACAGGCATTTCACGGAATGATCGATTACACAGACTGACTGTAGCATATATAGTCAGTGTAATGTATACAATCCTTAAATGTATTTTATAAGTACATGTATATATATTAACTACATTTTACTATGACATGAGTTTAATGTTGTTGAATAAATATAGATATGAATTGTTGTGACTCTAATGTCCCCTCACATACGTATGTGTGTATATAGTTTAATGTACATGTTTCAGGGCGTTCTTTCTAATTTCGTCAAATAAATCCTCAAGACTCAAACACGACCTGTGTTTCGTTTATGAACACCCGGTTACACGAAGCTATTAGTATTCTTTGCGATAT